TTCATCCTTCAGAAAATCCTGCTACTCCTCTAGTTTCTGTGAAGTTTAATGGTGATTGTTACAATGAATGGCAACGCAGTATGATCATTGCATTTGCAGCAAAAATAAGTTAGGTTTCATTGATGGAACTCTTGCTAGACCACTAGATACAAATCTGCTTGAGAGTCAGGCCTGGGATAGGTGTAATGCCATGATTATTGCCTATATTTTGAATTCTCTTGATCGTAATATTGCTAGAAGTGTTCTATACTTTAATACAGCCAGAGAAATCTGGAAAGATCTTGAGGATCGTTATTCTCAGAGTTCAGGTGCTCAGTTGTATTCATTACAATAGAATTTGAGTGATATGTCACAAGGATCTACCCGTGTAGCAGAGTTTTTCACTGCTATTAAGGCTCTTTGGGATCTGATCTCTGGCATTAATCCTATTCCAACTTGTTCTTGTGGTAAATGTACTTGCAATCTGACTCAGAAATTCTTCAAACAGCAGCAGGAAGAGAGAGTGATTCAGCTGTTGATGAAGTTGGATGGAAAATACACCAATGTCAGAACCAATATTCTAATGATGCAGCCCTTACCTAATGTTTCTCTAGCCTATAGGCTTCTTATTCAGGAAGAAAAGCAAAGGAATGTCAGTTTATTAGCTGAGAACACAGCAAATTCTAGCACTATGGCTTTTGCTGTAGATAACAGAAGAACTGATCAGATCCAGGGCAATAGAATTACTGAGGTCAGACCTCAGTTTTCTAATACTTGGAATAGAAATTCACATCATCAGACTCAAGGATTCAATTCTGGACAGCAACAGCAAAGCTATAATTCTAGTTTTGGAAGAGGAATTAATAATACCAGAAGATTCTCTTCTCTTTTCTGTGATTACTGTAAATTGAATGGTCACACTGTTGAGAGATGTTATAAAATTCATGGCTATCCAAATGCCAATCCAGGCTATAAAGGCAAGGGAAGGAAAGTTGCTGCAATTGTTTATAGTGATGATGCAGATGATAATTCTGAACAAGCTGTTGCGACTACTCATCTCTCTGCTCAGCAGTACAACAAATTTATTGAAGTAATGAATTCTTAGACACATGATCAGTCTTCTCCTTCCACTGAGTCTGTGAATGCACATAATCTTGTGCATTCAACTTACAGCTCAGCTCACATGGCAGGTACTTGTCTTCTCTCTTGCTCTAATTCTAAGTGGATTATTGATTCAGGAGCTACAGATCACATTTGTTGCAACATTGATCTGTTTCATTCTTTTGAGAAATTTACTAAGTCACCAAACACTATTACTGTTGCTAATGGTAAAAGTGTGAAAATAGAACGTATTGGTCTAATCAGGTTCCAAAATGGCTTAGAGTTGAAGAATGTTCTTCATGTTCTAGATTTTACATTCAACTTGATCAGTACACACAAGTTGTGTAAAGATCTTAATTGTGAGATCAAGTTTACTCATGATACTTGCTTGGTCCAGGATCTTTCCCAGGATAGTACACTTGTTCTTGGTAAATTGGACTTTGGACTTTATGCATTTGGAAAAGAAAAATAGTGTTCATGAGAAGAGACATGAACCAGAACCTGCAATTGATGATGCAGCTCTTTTAAATAAATCTGAAGAGGCAAAGTTATGGCATCTTCGTTTAGGACATCTTCCTTTTGGCAAGATTCATCATGTGATTAATGTTGTTTCTAGTTGTTCTGTTCCTGATACTATCTGTCAGGTCTGCCCTAAGGCAAAACAAATTAGAATTCCATTTCCTAGTAGTAGTAATAATTCTACTAGAAGCTTTGAATTGTTGCACATTGACACTTGGGGTCCATATAAAGTCTCTACACATGATGGTTGTAGTTTATTTCTGACTATTGTAGATGATTTTTCAAGACATACTTGGACTGTTCTTTTGAAGTCTAAGAGTAGTGCTGTCAATGTACTTGATAATTTTGTTGCAATGATATATAATCAATTTCATACTTCTGTCAAGTACATTAGATCAGATAATGCCAAGGAGCTATGTGAAGGACCTGTTCTACAGATTTACAATAAGTATGGCATTTTGCATCAGAGAAGTTGTTCTGATACACCTCAGCAGAATGGGGTGATTGAGAGGAAACATAGGCATCTTTTAGAGACTGCAAGGGCCTTATATTTTCAGTCTAATGTTCCTGTCTATCTTAGGGGTGAATGTTTGCTTTGTGCTACACATCTTATTGTAGGCGTCGCTCGAAGTGCGCCTACGTAAAAGCATGGTGTGAATATGCTTGGCACTCATAGGAAGTGGGAATTGACATGTACGATTAGGGACACGATTAGGGACAAGGAAAGTAGGGAGCCGCCAACAAGTTTTTAAGGAACTTGTAAACCGTTCACGGATCATTTAAGGCAACCACGATCAAGGGACAACGATAGGCAACAATGATTGACCCGTGAAGGTTACACCCCATTCATAATCCATGAGATTACTAACTCCATATGGTTCGGAACCACGAAAGGAGGATCGGGGATGATGGTACGAAGTGAGTCATGGAGTCACATTCGCCCGTATTGGCCTCTACTCGATTCTTATTGTGAAAAGTATTCCTGTGATCTCAAAGGCATACAAACAAAATATTCAATTTGCTCCAAACTATTATTATGCTAAATTGGTTGAATATTAATGCAACATATAATTCTATAATATTGGTGATCACTTGATTAAATAACAAGATTAAAAAGGAACCTAAACCGGTCGTCCAAATTATCTTATTATGCGTGATTTTCAATTACATATTCCCTTTAAACATGCAATATGGTGATCAATAAATAATAATAGAACAAAACATTAATATTAGAAGCAATATAACAATAATAGCGTTAGTCAAATCAAATAATAATAGCCTTAATCATGATACTAGCAATATAAAATAAAATAAGTAATTAAAATAATTACTCACATTCCGCGCGTTCCTTTAAATTGCTACATCATGAATAAAATGTTAGTAACTTCAATAAATATAAATCAAATGGAAATAATTAAATTAAATAAAAGGTAGAGTTGATTTGGTCCAAACCCTCAGTCAATTATACCTTTCACGCCTTGGTTTCAGTATAGAACTTCGGGTATTATATGGACTCCTTGGAGTGCTTAGGGGAATTGTTATGGAAGAATAAGAAGGCTAGAAATTAGGTTAAAGAGGGAGAAGAGAATGATTTTAGGTGTAAGGTGAGAGAGAATGATATTTGGTGGAAATGAGAGGAAGAGAGAAGGATTAGATGATCAAGATTGTTCATGATTGAAAAAGGGGAGATATGACCTCTATTTATAGGAAAAAAGAGGGGTCGAATCAAGAAAAGATAAGAATTCGAATCAGATAAAACTCTTGCGATAGACAGCAGTTTTTGCGGTTTTTGTTTTTATCATATCTTTTGATCTAGAAATTGGAATAAGATGAATAAGATATCGTTGGAAAGCCCTTGAAGTCTACTTTCTAACCCAATCAGAATCAGATTAAAATATTTTGTAGAATAAAAGATATGGCCGAAATAGTGGGACGGTGTCAGTTTTGGATAAAGTTTCGTATTTATTTCATATCTTTTTCGTTATAGCTCGGAATTAATATTATAATATATCATTGGAAAGATAATTTCAAGAGCTATCCAACCATGTAAGAATCAGATAAAAACAGTGAGGAAAGAAAATAATTTCTGACTATCTTTGAACGTTTTTCAATTCGAGTCGAATTACTAGAGGAGTTTTATTCTATTTCAAACTCTTTAATCTTATCTTTTCAAAAATGATAATTAAGATCTTTTAGAAGCTTATAGAAGCTTCCAATTAATCCTAATTGGATTAGGAGTGGGATTAAATCCTTTGGACCCTCCACATGATCATTGGGTCGTAGGTAAGGTGGGCTTAGGTTCGGTTTGGACTCAGTTTAGTATTTTAGCCATAACTTATTCGTTATAACTCGGATTTGGGCTTATAATATATCGTTGGAAAGCTCTTTTCAAGCCCCATCCAACCATTTAACTATTGGATCCAAATTATGGACCAAAATAAACTGGTCTAAACGTTTTTATAAAAAGGACACGAAATGAATTATTTTGGGTTTAAAGGCACGAAAAAGAGGAAAATAAGTTATGGTTTGGTGAAATGGGTTAGGAATTGGGTTGGTTTATGAAATGTATTGGGTAGAAACATGCATTTAAGCACTCCAAAGATTAAATACTCAACCCGACCAATAACGGCGGTGAAAGGTGTTCATCATCGGGTTCGGTTTTGGGGAGACATTTTTAGGTGTCTACACTTATTAATAGAATGCCTCTGAGTTCTATTGAGTTTAGCAGACCTTATGAAAAGATACATGGACACAAACCCAATCTGGATCATCTTAGGGTATGTGGCTTCCTATGCTATGTATCTACACTCAAAGTAAACAGAAGCAAATTTGATCCTAGAGTAGAACCTTGTATTTTTCTTGGTTATCCACCTAACCAGAATGCTTATAAGGTCATGTCTTTGGAGACAAGGAAATTCAACATATCTAGGGATGTTTACTTTCATGAGAAACATTTACCCTATCATTCTTCTGCAACTCAAACACCAGCACCTATTTTTCTACCCATAGCCACCCCAAATACACCTGGTTCTTCTCAAATCATTCCTGATCCCTTTCTCTTTTCTACAGATCCAGAATCTCCACTAAACACAATTCCAAATACTCTTTCTACCACACCTCCTATTTCACCTGTTTCTTCTCCTCAAACCTCAGCTCCTCAAAATATCCCAAACACTATTTCTTCTCCATCTCCACCCTTAAGACAATCCTCAAGGCCTCACAAAACTCCATATTGGCATAAAGATTATGTCACAGCCACTTCTATCAGCTCTCATTGGTGTAATGTTGTTAACTACACTGATCTGCCTATTTTTATGCAAACATTTATTTCCCAGACAACTACTATTACAGAACCTTGAAGTTATTTTGAGGTTGCTCAAGATCAGGGCTGGATAAATGCTATGCAAACTGAGATACAAGCATTGGAAAGAAATGGAACTTGGGAACTATGTTCTCTTCCTAAGGGAAAGAAAGCTATGGGGTGTAAGTGGGTTTACAAGGTGAAACTCAAATCTGATGGGACTGTTGAGAAACTTAAAGCAAGACTGGTTGCTAAGGGATATACTCAGATCTTTGGAATAGATTTTGATGAGATTTTTTCACCAGTAGTCAAAATGGCTACAATTAGATGTCTCTTGGCTCTTACTGCTAGTAAAGGATGGAGTTTGCATCAGTTAGACATCAATAATGCATTTCTTCATGGAGATTTGCATGAAGAAATTTATATGAAGATGCCTGAAGGAATGCCTAATCCTTACAACCTTGTATGCAAGCTTAAGAAATCTCTCTATGGCCTTAAGCAAGCTTCAAGGCAGTGGTTTGCTAGGTTAACTCTTGAGCTTGAAAAGTTGGGTTTCAAGAAGTCTCTGAATGATTATTCTTTATTTCTCAAACAGAATGATCCTGATATTATTATTTTAGCAGTCTATGTTGATGATATTGTTGTGACTGGTACAAATAATGAAGCTATTTTGGCTCTGAAGACTCATTTGCATTCTGTTTTCAGCATCAAGGATCTGGGTATTTTACACTATTTCCTTGGTATTGAAGTTGTTCATTTACCTCAAGGAATAATTCTTACTCAGAGAAAATTCTATAAGGAATTAATAAGTGAATCTGGTTTTGATGTGTCTAAGGTTGCTAAAACACCTCTTCCACAAAAACTGAAACTTTTAGCAGATCAAGGAGATTTTTGTTCTAATCCTACTTTATACAGGAAAATGGTGGGAAAGCTGAATTTCCTCACACATACAAGACCAGATCTGTCTTTTGCTGTTCAATGCTTAAGTCAATTTATGCATCAGCCAAGAATTCAGCATATGCAAGCTTTGCATCATGTCCTGAGGTATGTTGCTTATACTCTAGGACAAGGGATTCTACTCCAGGCAACAACTCAACTCACTCTCAAAGCTTACTCAGACTCATATTGGGGGTCCTATCCTAATAGCAGAAGGTCAGTGACAGGTTATATCATGCTTCTTGGTAATTCCCCAATTTCATGGAAATCCAAGAAGCAAGGAACTGTCTCTATGTCATCTGCAGAGGCAGAATACAGAGCTATGGCTGCAGCCTCTACTGAAGTTACTTGGTTGGTTAGACTTCTTACAGAATTAGGCATTGTTGATTTGAAGCCTGTCAAATTGTCTTGTGACAATCAATCTACAATTTAGATTGGAAAGAATCCAGTGATGCATGAGAGGACTAAACACATTGAGCTGGACTGCCATTTCACTAGAGATAAGGTTTTGGAGGGTCTGATTGAGCTGTCTTATCTTCCTTCTCATGAACAGTTGGCTGATTTGTTTACAAAGACTTTGCATGTCTATCAGCACAATTATCTGAGCTCCAAGCTAGGCTTAGTTGATTCCACCATCCCTAGCTTGAGGGGGGGGGGGGGTACTGAAGCATCTGAGTACAACCAGCTATTTGCACCTTGATAGAATTAGCTTGCCTAGTCAGCAGTTAGTTATAACTAACTGATTCCAGAAACTTCCTCTATAACAAACTTCTTGCTTATTGTAATAGCTAGTATATAAGTCCTTTAGCTGAGCTCACACTTTTGTAATGATCAGAATATTCTTTTCTTCTCTCTAAGATCAATACAATTCTCTTCTTTCTCACTCTAAAAGCTTCATGTTCTTCAAGTTTGATGATTATCAACAAAAACTTTTATTCTATTGATCCGGTAAGATAGTCATCTTATTAGAGAATGACTTTTTTATTATCATGATTCTTAATTACTTCTTCCGTTTATATATAGTTGCAATACTTCCCTAAAATGGAAATGTCAAAATAGTTGCAACACACCATAATTGGAAAGTATTTTATGTCAAAAGTTGTACTATTATTTTTATATAATCTCATGGCCTACTAAATTATAATCTTTAACAATCTATCTCCATTATTTTAAGTGTTTTAAATCACATAAGACCTACTTTTCTTAAATACCGTGAAAAAGGGTGTGTTGCAAGTATCAAAAAATGGAGGAAGTATGTCATTTTTTTCTAGTGAGTTTCAATTACAAAATGAACCTACTATATTTAGATACAAATTTTTTTTTTTTTAAAAAAAGTGTAGATTTAGCAACTTAATTAAACAATTTATGTCAAAAAAAAAAACTTAATTAAACAAGAAATATACCCAGTAAACTTATAGTTTTTGGGACATTGGCTACGAATTGAACATTAATGATTAATTATAAATGGATAGGATGTAGTTTGGGTATTAAACATAATTTCTACATTAATTTTTTTACAAAAAAATAAATAAAAATGTAAACTTTACTTCTAAATTTATGTCCTAAATTGAAGAAGAAGACTAAAAACAACAGTTTGGAGATGATATTAAAGTCAATGTAAGTGTATCAATCAAATTTGACTATACATAAAAATATCTTTTTATCTTGTCATATAGTTGAATTTAATTTGTTTGCTAACTTTGGAGTAACACCAAAACATAGATGTAAATAGGGAATAATTTTAGATAAACATCACAACACATCAACAAAATTCTGTAATAGTTGAAACAATGCATGGATACATATATCGCGAACAACTATTCTTACGTAAGTGTAACCTTGTTGGATTCAATTACAACTATCAAATTTGTTGTTCAATTTTCAACCACCCATTTTATCTTCATCTTTTTTTGTAAGTATATATAATTCTTAAACTTGACTACTTTGAATTTTAATACTTTAATTCTCTCCTAAACCATTCTTAAATATTTCAAAACTAACCCTAACCACACAAGTCTTAAAAATGATACAAATAAGAATGCAAAGAAGGAAAAGATTGCTCAATATTTTGCCTTTTTCTTGTTGTTGATCGGAACGGTAGCGGCATTGGTGGTTGGTATGCAAACCTACCACCATCACCACCATGAGCCCCATACTGATACCGAACCTTCTAACAATAATGAAGAGCTATCCACATCAAATAAAGCCATCTAATCTCTTTGTAATCCAACACATTACAAAAAAACATGTATTGGAACCCTTAATTCGGCTGCTAGCAACACAAGTGACCCAATGAATCTATTGAAGTTAGCTTTCAATGCAACAAAGAAAGAACTTTTGGATACCATTAACAAGTTCTCCAATTTACATGTACCAAAAGATGATCCAAGAGCAATCCAAGGGCTTGAAATTTGCAAAGAATTAGTCGAAAACTCGGTGAATGATTTAGAGAGATCAATGAATTCTGTGAATGGCATTGAATTGAAAGAATTAGACCAATTGATGGAGAATCTTAAGGTATGGATTAGTGGGGCTTTAACGTACCAAGAAACTTGTTTTGATGCATTTGAAAATTCGACTAGTAATGTAGGACAAATGATGAAGAATTTATTAAAGACTTCAAAGGAGCTTATTAGTGATACTTTAAGCATTGTTTCTATGCTAAGCTCATTGAAAAGTTCCTTTGATGTTAAGCGTGTGTTTCATCACCGTCGTTTGATGGATGACTCGAAACCTAAGGTTGCATCTGAATCGCAAAAACTCCTTGCTTGGATTAATGATCAAACACGCCATATCATGAAGCTTCCAACAACGAAAATTCGTCCTAATGTGACCGTGGCTTTGGATGGGAGTGGACAATATAAGACTATTATGGAAGCGATAAATCGAGTTCCTAATAACAATGTGGAGGCATTTGTGATCTATATTAAGGAAGGAGTATATAAGGAGCATGTTATTGTTGATAAGAGTAACACTAATGTTATATTTATTGGTGATGGACATAGCAAAACCAAGATCACCGGAAATAAGAACTTTGTTGATGGTTATCAAACGTTCAAAACTTCAACTGTTGGTAAGAATCTATTATAGTAGTATTTTGTTACAATAAATACATTTACCTTCAAAATGTGTTATAATTTAATTATTGTACACAATGTTCTATGTAAAACCACAAACGTTTCTAGTTTCTAAAAAATATAATTATGTGTTTTATTAGTTTTAAATTAGTCTCTATCAGCAAAAAATTAAAAAAATTAAAATTAAAATAGTCTCTTTAACTATTATATAATGCATTGTTCATCTTATTAGTAATAACATGTTCAATTAAATCTTATTAGTACTAATGGTTAATAAGGTTTGTCTAACGTGTGTTTATGGGCATATTCTAAGAAAACAAAGACAAAATAGAAAGTATAATACGAATAAATCATTTTCTTTTCTTTTATTTTGACAAATTGGTTTAAAGTCCTTGTATAATATGATCTTGATGTTAATTTTGAAAAAAAAAATACATAATTTTATTGCAGATATCATAGGTGATGGTTTCATGGCCAAGGACATAGGCTTTGAGAACTCAGCAGGACCAACAAAGCATCAAGCAATGGCAATACGCTTAGTATCCGATTTCTCTACCTTCTACAACTGTCGTTTTGATGGATACCAAGACACTCTTTACGCGGTAAGATCACGTCAATTTTATCGTCATTGCACCATTACTGGCACAATAGATTTCATCTTCGGAGATGCAATGGCTATTTTTCAAAATTGCAAAATGGCTATTAGAAAACCATTAGAAAATCAACAATGTATTGTAACGGCCCAAGGCCGACTACAATCCGATGGTCCAGGTGCATTTATCCTTCAAAATTGCACCATTAACGCGGACCCTGATTATTACCCAGTTAAAGATAAAAATAGGGCTTTCTTAGGCCGACCGTGGAAGGATTATTCTCGAACTATTATCATGCAATCATTCATCGATGAAGCCATTCATTATGAAGGTTGGGCTCCATGGTCCGGTGATTTTGGGCTAGATACTTTGTTTTACGTCGAATTTGAAAATAGAGGGCCTGGTGCAGCCAAAGAAAAGAGAGTGAAATGGAATGGTGTCAAGCAGTTAAGTTCAGCCCAAGTTCAAGATTTTACTATTAGTAAATTTTATGTAAATGCTAGCTCTTGGCTTAATACCACTGGAGTGCCACACTACTCCACCATGCTTAATATTTAAGGGTTTTATTTATTTATTTTGTTTTGGAGTCACAATTACTGTACAAAGTTATACTTCGAGTAGCTGGTGTTAGTTAAATGATTTTAATTTTTTTTATTAATTTCTTCTTCTTCTTCTTCTTCTTTTTTTTTTTTTTTTTTTTTTTTTTTTTTAACCTGATTTCATATCATTCTAACATGGGAAAAAAAGAGTACTTTGAAACAATTAGAGCTTGTTAGATATTCTCTAAATAATATCGAAAAAAGCAATTGTTTACTCATGACATTAGGGAGACATTAGTATTGTGTATTATTTTGTTGTTACTCTACTCTTCATTTTATGCAAATAAAACTATGCAAATAGTGGAGTTTGATTGATTAAAAGTGAATATAGAAAGAAGATGATGAATTTTGGTTAATTAACACTATGTTTGGATAGAGAGAAATGGGGGAAAAGGAAGAGAAGACAAAATGAAGGATGGATCTTTCTTTGTTTTGATACCTAATGCAAGGAGAGAAAGGGAGGGCATTTGAATGACTCATTTTCTTTCCCCTTTTAATAAACCAAATCTCTCTATTGTTGGAGAGATTTTTAGAAGGATAATGAAAGGTCACCTTCTCCCTCACCCCACCTCACCTCCCCTTCCCTTCCCTCTTTTTCCTTCCCCTCCCTTTCCCTTTAATTTTGCTATCCACATATAGTATAAAAGTGTATTTTACCTTCCACTATGTTTGGATAACAATAGTGAAGAGAAAAGGATAAGAAGGAAAAAGAGGGAGGGGAACGGGAGGTGAGGTGAGGTGAGGGAGAAGGTCACCTTCCATTTTGCATCCAAATATCTCCAACAATGGAGGGATTTGCTTGGTTTATTAACACTTTGTTTGGATAAAATAAAATGGGAGAAAAAGAAGGGAAGAGAAAGGGAGAATGACAAACTCGCTTGTTTTGGTAAATGATTGAGAGAAGGAAGGGAAACGAGAGGGAGAGATTTATTTCCGTTCTCTCTCTTTTTAATAAGCAAAATCTCTCCAAAATTGGAGAGATTTGGAAGGAAAATGAAGCTCACATCCCCCTCCTTTTCTTTCCCCTTACCTTCCTCCTATTTCTCTCCCCTTCCTTTCCTTCCTTACTTGCTATCCAAACAAAGCGTTAAAAAAAAAGAAAAATTGATCCTTTTAATTCCATCCCCTACCCTCCTTACATTAGATATCCAAACAAAGGAGGATGCATCCCTCATTTTCTCATCTTTTATTTTCCCTCAATTTCTTTCTATATAAACATAGTGTTTGTGAAGTCAAGTGCAACAAAGGATCTTTCATTCACTCCAAAATAAATTCTAAATGAAATATTAGTAAGTATAGTTAGGGGCATGTGATTAGATGGATGAGAGAAAAAGTGAGAACCAAATAGCTAGTTAATAAAGTTGCCAAATTTTTAAGAGGGTACAATTTCCCTCCTAAAGTTAGAAAATTGAAATTTCAACCAAATTTTAAATTTAACTCCATCATTTGCACATCAAAGATCCACCTTATAAATACAGGAGCACTTTTGAAAAGAAAATTCTACACAAACATCATACTCAACGAACAACATCATCATCATCCAAAATTTACACTTCAGCATCTACTAGTGAACTACTATCCAACATCCTCTAAAGCCACCACAAAACCCACAATATACTGCACAATCACACCCACCACCAAACCCAAAACCACAAACCCAAACCCACAACCCAATAAGAAGAGAATAGAAAGAGGAGAGATAGGAGGTATGTAGTTAAGTCGAGTTTGCCGGTAGGATATAAGGTAGGGCTGAGCAAACCTATCTTAAATCCGATAATCCGATCCAAAATCAAATTCGGATTGGAAAACTGATCCGAAAAAATCATATATCGGATCGGATATCCGAAAAAATTACTTTTCCTTTTTTATTTCTAACATTGCATACTGAGTATAAAATCTAAAAAACTCCCATCGAGACAAAGAGGCAAAATCCATACCTAATTATATTCCCTAAAACCCATACTCCTAGTCCCCCATCGCCTCTCTCTCTCTCTCTTCTTTCCTCTCTCCTCTTAGATCTCAAATCTCCTCCTCTAGCAGCGGTTTCTTCGTCCTTCTCATGGCTGCTTCACTCTTGCTCACTCTCTTGGCTGCTCCACCAGTGACTTCAGTCTCTTGCTCTCATGGTTTGCTCGCGATTCGCGGCTTCACTCTCTCGCTCTCATAGTTGCTCCACTAGTGGCGGAAGCTCATCGGCCATTCATTCTCACTTCGTCTCACTAGACGCTCACATGATATCTATACTTCTTTCTGATCAAGTTTTTTCATTTTATTTGGTTCTAAATGACTTGTTCAATATATAAATCTTATTATTTTCTAGGTTAGTTATTTGATTTTAGATTTTGATTTTATACCAAATTATTTTTTGGTTTTTATCATTTAGTGTTTTTTTTTTATTATTTTTTTTAGAATGTGTTAAATCTATAATTTTAGATTCTTAATTATCATTATATTTTTGAAATTTATTGGGATTATTTGATTTAAATAATATGAATAATTGTAGCTTGTAATTAAGTTTGATTTTTCAGTCAAGATGAATTCTATAATTTAACGATATTATTCACTATTATGCAATTTATTCCAATAAAAAACCTTTATTATTAAAATGGTCGGATATTGGATATCCGAACTATCTGATCTTAAACTTTCGGATATTCGAAAAACTTCGGATCGGATACGGATATCAAATATTTGAGATTTTGAATACGAATATATGATCTGAAATCCAAATTCGGATCGGATATTCGATCCCTGCTCACCCCTAATATGATGTTGTACAAGATGGAGGAGAGATAGATAGATGTGGTGGTAGTTGTTGAAAATTGGTTGTGGTGGCAATTAAAACTTAATGGCAGCTTAGAAGGGGAGAATGTAGGTGGGTGGTGGTGGTGGTTGTGGTGTCGGGTTTATGGTGGAGAGGAGAGAGTGGATGAGGGTGGTGAAGAAATCGTGAAGAGAGAGAAATAAGATAGTTAAGGTAAGGGTGCTTCTTAAGTGAGTCGAGCCTCAACTTTGCTTAACTCGGCTCGTGTTCATTTACATTTATTCGAACTTGAGCCGAGCACAAACTTTAAAGAGTGGTGTTTTGACCGAGTTGAGTTTTGACCAAGCGTTGTGATGATTCTATTTTATATATAATTTTATTCCCCGTCCCATGGTAATATTTGTGCATAATTGAGATCTGCGAAACTATTTTTACTACTAATATACGTTTTCTAGTGTTTTGTAGAGTTGATATTATTTTATAGGAATTTGCAGAAATATGACAATTCCCGAGCTTATTGAGCCACTACAAAATATATATGCTTGTTGTTGTCCATATTATGTTTTGCATAAGATTGGTAGTAATTTCCCATTCTACAACTCGTTCGGGAAAATGAGATTATTGTTCTTCCGCTTGTGATTGTTTATTAATATTGTGTGCATCTTTCCTAACAAAGTGGTATCAGAGCAGAGGTTTTATTGCTATAGTTTTTTTGCATTGTTGAAGAATGGATGATAAATGTGTGCACAAAATGATTTACTTAAATTCAAATAATTATTCCGTATAGAAAACGAGAATGGAAGATATTATATTAAGGATTCAAATGAACCAATCTTGAATGATGCTAGGCCAAGTGGCAGGGATGATTCTTCTTGGAAGTTTCTTAATCATAAGGCCATTGCATTGATTCGGCAATTCATTAATCAAAGTGTTTTTTAACATGTAGCAAGTGACACTAGTGCCCATACTTTGTGGAAGAAGCTCGAGTCTATGTATGAGAGGAAGAATGCACTAAACAAAGCCTCACTCATGAGAAGACTTGTTAAGTTGGAGTAATCGGATGGTCAAAGTGTGATTGAACATCTAAGTTCTTTTTCGGGTTTAGTGAATCAATTGTACTGTCTGTAGGGAAATTGGTGTTAGAAGATGAGTTGCTTGCATTAATCCTCCTTAGTTCATTGCTCGACAGGTTGGAAAATCTTATTGTGTCACTTAGTAACTCCGCTTTTGAAGGAAAGCTTGCAATGGAGGTTGTGAAGTTAATTTTGATGAATGAAGAAGCCCGGTAGAAGGAACATAGATCCTCATTTGTTCATTTGGGGGCTTATGTAGTTGAAAGACAAGGTCGTGGAAGAACTATGATTAGATTTCACGATGGTGAAGATTATAATTCTAGGGGGAGATCGAGTACAAGGGGACAAGTTGTTTGTTTCTATTGTGATAAACCGGGCCATAAAAAATCTGAGTGTAGAAAATGGAAGCGTGAAAAAGCCAAACAAAGTGTGGAGAAAGGAAAGAAAGGACAACATTATGTGAATGACGAAGATGATGGAAATACTTTGGCTTTTGCAGCTAATGATGATTTGTATTTTGTTGGTGGTGATACTAACCTTGAGATTTCTTATGATAATTGTACTTGGTTCATTGACTCGGGGTCACTGTATCATCTTCCCTCACATTTGGACTTCTTCTCATCATACACTAGAGGTGATTTTGGCTATGTGAAGATGGGGAATGATAAGGTATCCAAGGTTGTTGACTTGGGTACTGTCTATTTGGAGACATCCACTGGTTGTAGGTTGGCTATCAGAAATGTAAGGCATGTTCATGATGTCCGTGTTAGTTTATTCTCCGCCGGAAAGTTTGATGATGATGGTTATGATAGCCACTTTGGTGAAGGTCAATGGAAGCTCACCAAAGGTTCATTGGTCGTGGCTCGAAGAAGAAAGAAAGACAATGGTTGTTTCGTGATGCAAGCTAAGCTATGTGAGAACGATAATGTGCCAAGTTTACCACCATTGCCACATAAGAAGCTTGATCACATGGTGAAGAAAAATGTAAAATTCCTCCCTAATGGTAACTCTCTTTCTCCTAGTACTATTCATAGTTGTGTTGATCATAGGGGTAAAGAAGTGAATTTGTGTAGTGGTGATGTGTTGAGTTTATTGCTTGTTGAGCATGTTGCTTGTAAGTCA